AAAAGCCTTTCATATACCTGATTGACACGGTTTGTCACAATTAATCTAACAAAATTAAGTTTAACTCGTTTCGAAGACATCCTCATAAATGTATAATCATAAATTTTTCAACATTGATAATATAAAAAGAGATGCATAATGATATCCTAGGTGGCAAATAACTAATGACTAAACATAACTAGAGTTCGGGGTGTGATCACCAATGAAGGTGACCTCACACCTCCGATTCCTTCCCCGTCGCAGCTCCTCTGTTACGCTTACCTGAAAATTGTAGATGTAACGGAATGAGACTACCGTCTCAGTAACGAAAACTCCTACCTACCTCACCTACCAGCACCCCTAAGAGGCGCCAAGTGGGACTAACAATTAATATAATCATTAAATATGTTACCATCACATAACAGATACCAGATATCATAAACATATAAGCTAAAAGAAAATATCAACATATGTGCTTGCTTTACTCATCATTTATTATCATTATTCATCATTCGATTCCTGTCTTATATCCTCCTTATACCCGCCGACTTGAACCCATGGGCTAAGTCTTAATCATGTGACTGATGACTCTCACAAGCTTCCCACGCGTGTGATGCGGACCGGCCAAAGTCGGCAGAGCACACGCGGGCCATGGGTTCCTCCAGAAAAGGGGGATTCTGCCCCAATGGGTTTACTGCCCAGTATCCTGACGGGGATGCTGCCCTCGGGGGATACTGCCCCGGGATACTCTTGGAGTGTCGCAAATGAGGGTATACTGCCCTCTCTAATAGGCCAACCATAATGCATGCTATGGAGGCAAACCACGTGGTAATATGTGCATATCAAGCTCCATCACCACACCTCTTCCCCAATATTAAACGAATTAATCACAGTCATGACAGTTCTAAATTCTCATCAAGTATCTCAAGAACATGCATCTTAAGAGATTCGAAACATACATTAACCATATAGGATACTTAATATCATACCATACAATAGCATTCTTAGATAATCAGGGGCATAAACATATCATTCCAGAAGCTCATGCTAACATATAAAATACAATCAAATAAAATAGCAACTTGGATAAATCGCCTTGCTCAACAAATAATCTTTCACCACAACAGACTACACAGTACATCCCAAGTCCACAATTTCATCCAAAAATCACTCATGAGGCTCCTATCCAGTCCAAAAGTTGTAGCAATTTATTCATTTTTCACAAATCACTCCCATCAAGCAACTTCCAAATGTCCATAAAGTTTTCTGATAGTTTCAAAACAGCTTTCCTATTCCATATTATTCAAGCCTATCCTAAAAGGGTTCAATTTAATTAAAAACTCCTCTTAGAGGAACCGATAGGAGAAAATAAGTAAGAATTCACGTTACCTGGTGTCCAACAAGTGCTTACAAGTTAAAGATTAAGACCATGAACTTGGGATCGTCAAACCAATTATCATATCTACAAACAGAAAATATACGTTACTAGAATATCTTATGGGTAAGCTACGTATCAAATTTTAACCCATAACTCCCTCTTTAAGGTTTCTAAATTGTTACTCAAAATTCTAGCTCGTACAATTTTTCTAAGATCTAGAGTAAGAACATGGATACTATGCTTTAGATTCAATTCTTAAGTTTCTTTAGCTTATATTATCTTTAAATCTCTAAATCATGTCATTATAATTTATTCATAACCCAAGTACAAAACCTTCAACTTATAGCCTATGTTCTATTTTCGAAAACTTAGGAAAACATATTTAATACAAGTTAAATTATTCTCACTACAGATGTTTAATTATTAATCTAACCATTGAAATTAAAATATTATATGTCTTGAGTTTATTCTCCAAATTTTGGCTTCATCTAATGGTGAACAAATTTAAAAATGATACTTTACTACTCAGTGTTCTATCCATAAAATCTGAAAATAAAGAGTTTAATGCATATCTAGTAACTCATACCTCAGATATTGAACCACTAATCCAACCGTTGAAATTGATGAAATAGATGTCTCGGATTGGAAGACCAAATTTTGGCCTGATCCAACAGTTTACGGACTTGTACATGGCACTTTACTGAGACAATGTCAGTTTTGTGCGAAAATATTTAACTTATTCTTAATTCTTCCCTAATACCACCTATTTATAGGCTCATAGAATCCCATCTTCATATCATTTAGTCGATGTGGGACTTCTTAACCTTTTTGTTTTATTTATCAGTTTATATATAAATAGTTATATATAGACACACACATATAATCATAAATATTTTAATTGTTTATATATATAATTAACCACTATTAAAGTGATGTCAATAAATATTTACTCGCAAATTTACTTGAGTCTTAGAGACTAAAATTGGGATGTTACAAACTTGGTTTTTATGAAAAGTGGGTTACACTGGTGATGAATTGCATCTCAGCGATTAAACTGAATATTTGTTTGTCTAGAAGAAAGGTTGGGGAAGTCACTTCCTAAAAGAGGATTGAGATAAGGTGATCCTTTATCACCTTATATCTTTATTTTGGTGGTAGAAGCCCTGTCAAGCATGATTAATAAGGATGTAGAAAGAGGCATTTTGAAGGGTATTAAGATCATCAGTACAACCCCAATGCTTACTCATAGCTTCTTTGCTGATGACATTTTGTTTTTTATGTATGCTAAGGAGAATAATTGTAGAATCCTGGTAGACCTGTTGAAAGATTACTACATAGCATCTAGGCAAGAAGCAAATTTGTTGAAATCTAGGATTTTTTTTTCCAAAAATACCCCACCTGAGTTGCATGAGAAAGTTTGTTCAATTCTTGGGATAAAAGACATAGAAGAACTAGGTAGATATTTAGGGATCCCTAATATTTGGGGGAAAACTAAATGTCAAGCCTTAGCCTATATCAAAGAGAAAATAGGTAGAAAGATCAGGATTTGGATAGTATGATGGCAACTTTCTGGTGGAATGGTGGAGAAGAGGGTAGGAAGATCCATTGGAAAGCTTGGGATAAGCTTACTGATGCTAAGAAGGAAGGAGGGATGGGGTTTAGAGAGTTTGAAGCAATTAATGAGGCATTACTGGCTAAAACTGCATGGAGAATTTTGAATTGCCCAAATGAGTTATGGGTAAAAATACTTAAAGGTGTTTACTTCCCAATTCTAACTTTCTTGAGGCAAAGAAAGGTGGCAGAGCTTCTTGGTTGTGGACTAGTATTCTGGAAGGAAGGAATGCACTGATGGAAGATTTGTTTTGGAGAATAGGAAATGGGCTTGATGTGAGGCTGTGGAAAGATAAATGGATCATTTGATGGCAGCTTGGATCATATTGTTGAAATTCTTGAGGACATGAAGAATTGGAAGGTTGCTGAGTTGATTCAAAATGGAAGATGGGCTGTAGAGAAGCTGGATGGCTTGGTGCTAGATGATGTGATCAGGAAAATTGAACAAATGTTCTGTTGCAACTCTGGAAGAAATGATGCAGTGGTATGGTTAGGCGCAAGGGATGGAAAATATGTAGTAAAGAAGGGTTATCACTGTATAAGAAATAAGAAGAAAAGGCAAAGAAAATCTGCAGCAAGCTCTTCTTTTTCTATGCCCAAAGAAGTTTGGAATACTCTGTGGAATGTTAAGGTGCTTCCAAAAATTTCACATTTTCTCGAGAGATGTCTTGTTCAAGCTGTACCAGTGAGGGAAAGACTAATTAGAAGAAAATGTGGTAATTCAGATTTGTGTCCTGTTTGTGGGGTAGAGCCTGAGACATTAGAACATGCATTGTTTTTATGCCCTTGGGTGAAGTATGTCTGGTTTGGAAGTAATTTTTCCATTAAAGTAGATGAGCTAGAGTTGATTAGGTTTGATTTTTGGTGGGTTAACATGGTAGCTGATAAGAATCGTTTTAATGATTATCATCTAGCTTATTTTGCTTGGTTAATCTGGCTAATTTGGAAAGAAAGAAATAGGTTGGTGTTTGAGTCTATTCAGCCTGATCCAAGAAGAGTAATTGATTATGCAGGAAAAGCTCTAAGCAAATGTTAGAAGACAAAAGGCTGGCAAGGCTCAGATAGGGAAAAGAAGAAAGAAGATAGATGTGGTGCACAGAGACTGCCTGAGGAAGGAGTGATTAAAATCAATTATGATGGGTCTTTCAACTCTGGGGAGGCTGTAATTGGTTTAATTTGTAGAGATGCTTCAGGTAGCTTCATGTGGGGTTTTTGTGAGAAATTGAAGGCTGAATCTGTAGTAGTTACTGAAGTCTTAGCTTTTAAGAAAGCTATTTGCCTGATGCAAGAATTAGAGCCGAATAAAGTGGTTATTGAAGTGTATTGCTTGAAGTTTACTGGTGTAGTAAGAAAGGATCAGTTGAAGGAACTGACTGGTGGGGTCAATGGGATCTCCAGGAGGCTCTTTTGTGCTTGAAGAATTTGAATGAAGTGGCAATTTCTCTTGTCTCGAGAAGAGGACAGAGAGCAGCAGATCTGATTGTTGTGGCTTGCAACAAGGGGGTGTATCCTATAGGATGGGTGGAAACACCAATCTCACCTTCTTTACTTCAGATTCTAAATGAAGATGTTGAATCTGGAAAGAATTAGCCTAGAAGCTTGCTAAATTCTGATGGAAGAAATTATGCTGTTGAAGATCTGGTGTTGGAAGCTAACAAGAGTGGAGTTGGGTAATTTGCTCTAATGATCCTTGTTTGTTCTCTTTTTCCTTTTGATTGGTGGCTGTATTTTTTCTGTTTGGTGAGCTGTGTGTTTTGTAGGTTGTATGCTTAGGTTGTTTTGAGTGTTTTTTCTTTATGGGCTTCGGCTATTAGTGTGTGTATTCTGATTTTTTTGGTGATTAATAAAATGGACTCTCTCTTTTGGTCCAAAAAAAAAATTCCATACGTAATTCTTGAAAATAGTATTTACTCTATCTTAAGGATAATGAACAACAAAATAAAACGATATATAAACGCGTGATTTACAAGATTCTCTCCTTCGAGTGGGAGCTTTATTTTCTCTCTTCACTACGGAAGTTTTCTCATTTAGGATGGTTCTGATGGAACTTATTTGTGGCAAGCTTGCTTTGGACAACACTCGTCCAACAGAGCATATTAATCTAGCAAGATGGGCATCAAGCTGCCAAGAAAAGGGCACCTTTCATGAGATTATAGACCCATATTTGAATGGGAAAGTGAACTTAGATTCTCTAAACAAAGTATGTGAATTGGCTTGGAAGTGTTTGGAGGAGAGACGCGTAAATAGACAACCAATAGGGTATGTGCTGTGTGAGCTTAAAGATGCTCTCCACATTGAGTTGGCTTCACCGATTCAGCGAGTTTCTGTGGATTGTGCCATCAAAAATGGAATGAAGGATGAAAAGTACATGAACAAAGTACATGACTTGGCCTAGAAGTGCTCAGGGAAGATTCGCATAAACAGACCACCAACGAGGTATGAACTGTGTGAGGTTAAAGACGCTTTCCAACTTGAGTTGGCTTCATGAATTTGGCAAGTTTCTATGGAGCATTGATGTGTGTGTGTTTGTGCACGCGCGTGCGTGTGTGTGTGGATGCAGAAAATGGAACCAATGATGGAAGACATTCTCTCAGTTTAATGACTCATTTGCTGCTAAACTACTGCAGGTTGTTGTTGTAATTGCACGATAATATAAATGGTGGTGAGATATCTATAATTAATAAGAGACGTTTTGAAAACAAAAAAAAAAACAGAGTTTAGACTCTCCTGAAACAAAATACATGAGTGCTTATTGTTTGTGAAAAAGATATGTATATCATTGTTGATTTTAGTTCAGGTTAGTTTTGCTTTCTTAAGCCTATTATAAACAGAATAACTCCAATAATTACTTCTGCAGTAAAAAAGATCAGTCCAGAAGTATGACCAGAAAAACTAAGAAAAAGGAATTCTCACAGGTTATCGAGCAAATGTGCACTGTACCTCTCTCACATAGTCTGTGTTAATTGTTAAACATCATCCATATATGGTTTCATGATGTGTGACGAAGCAAAGAATGATGGAAAATAACACTTAACATTTGCCTCACATAGTTAGTGTTAATAGTTTTTTTTTTTTTGCACGAATATATAAAAGAGACTTAATTGAAAGGAGACCATACAAAATTAAAATCGAAAAGGTACAATTTATGGATTGTTTAGGAAAAACAAGATTAGGAGTAATCCACCCATGAGAGATCTGGGAGCCCAATTAATTTGAGCCCATAATGACCTTAGTTTGAATTTAGAAACATATCCATCAGGCCCACTTCTGTTGTAAAGCCCAAATGAATATGTGAATTTAGGGATTATTTGGGTCAAAACCAAACGATGATTTTAAAAGTGATTTTACAATGTTCAAAGTAAATATATGAGGTAATTTATCTCGATTTGTAAAAAAAAAAAAAAACTTTTTAAAAGCACTTTTAAAGTGCTTCAAACACCACCTTAGTCTTCCTGACAGACATAATAATAGTAGTAGATAGGTTCGTTTTGTTCACATACCACTCCGATCCTTATTATAAGTTATTTGTGTAAAAAAATTTTAGTCTTGAATATAAGTTTCTCATATGATATTTAATGATTATTTTATAAATTTACTCTTATTTAATTCTTGTTGAAAAGAAAGAAAAAGAAAAAAGAGGTTAAAATTTGCAAATGCAGCAAAAGAAAAAACACTTTAGTAAAGTAAATTAAAAAATTTTTATCATCTCAATGCATTTCTTGATATATAAAAATAAGTTATAAGTGACTTATAGTAAAGATTGAGTGCTACATGCATTGTGCGTTTGGATGCTCCCAAGATCATGGTCTGGAGAGAAAAACCATGGTTTTGAAAAAACAAAAAACAAAAGAGAAAATTATTAAGAGGTCCCAATGAAAAAATTTAATTACTAGAAAATTTCAATGACAAGTGACTCGCTTGAATCTGTTGCCATTCCTATTCTAAAACTTGTTATTGTTTACTCTTTACTTGTCAATAGATTTTTAAAAAATTGGATTTTTTTGGGACCTAATTATAATTCTAAAAAAAAAAACAAACAAACAAACACTTGGAAACTTTTCCCAATCAATTTTTCCAGTAACTAAAAGCATGCTTTGGTATAAGCTATTCAAACACTTTTGATAAGCTAGGGAGAACAACTTCCAATAATCACTTTTTTTTTTAATAAAATCTATTTTACTAAAGAAATGTTTTTCCCCAAAAAAATTTTCTCCTTAAAATCTGTTATTTTAAGGTATGTTTTATTGCACCCTCCAAATCCAATTTTCCGCGTTCTTTTTTTTACCTTCAAAATTTCCACCTTCTTTAGGGGTTCAGAATATAATTATACAAACGTAACCCATATTTATAAAGAAAGCGACACACATTAATGTTGTAATTTTGATTCAGAGTATATTATTAATTAGATGTTTGACAGTACAGTTTGCATTCACATGCGAAACTGCAGATATTTTAAACTAATAAAAACCAACAAAAACACGGCTTGAAATAGACGAGTATAAGAAGGCAAATAAGTATATATGACATTAAAAGAAATATATATTGAATAGTCAGTTGATAACTCACAAAGCCCGTGAGTTTGAATCCCGTTACTGATATGAGAATCTTGTTACTGAATAATCTGTAAATATTTTTGTACCCGTTTTCTGAGTTTGGAGGCTTCCTTGACCTTGGTGAATTCTTGAGACTCAACTCATCTAAAATTGTTTTTGTAATAAAAAAAAGAAATATATATTGTCGATATTTACTATACGTAATTCTTCAGTATGATTTTTTATACAAAAATATTGCTTAAATGATCTAACTATGAAACGTGAGAATGAAGAAAGAGTAACGATTCGGGCAAATTTCTATTACGAATTTGATGACGAGATATTTTAGTTTAATAATCATATTTTTCACTCTGAATTTATGTTTTTCAAATTTACAACTTTGTTTATTTATTCTCAATCACGTGTGCTAAAAGCACCACACAGAACTGAAACGATTAATCGAAATGCAAGGAAAACTGCTCAAACAGTGTAAATGGGTTTCATAAACACCGTTGTACACTGTTACAGAATGTTACAGGGCAACTTTTAATGTGTATTTTGTTTTTTGCATTTATTATTTTTCTTACAAAGTTAATTGAGTGTCGGACTATTATTATTGCTTCCGTGTTTCTTGATGCCTTTCTATATTAATCTATAAAAGTAGACGGCATCTTGGAGACCTACGAGTCCCGTAACTCCATGCTTCACGGTTTATTTCTTGCAATTCTATAATTTGAAGCGTTAAGGTGCTCAGGCAAAAAAAAAGCGTTAAGGTGCCTCCAATATCTTAAAATATTTTATGGTGCATCTAGTATACTAAAATTTTCAGGTGCCTTCAACACCTTAAAAAATACTGAAAAATATTTTATGGCATTTAATCTGCATTCATTTAATGGGCCTTTTGAGGAGTTAATGATAAGATTAAAATTGTTCATGAAATAATACTTTAAAAGCGCAACCGTTTTTGAAAAAAATTAATACTTTAAGAGCAATATTATACCAAAAATATTTTAAGGTACTGGATACATATAAAAAAATATTTTAAGATGATAGACACACCACAATAAGACGCTGAATGTACCTGACAAAATAATTTGTGGTATTGGATACATTTTAACCCTGTTTGAAATCCCTTACATAGCTTCTGACGATTTTCTAATACCTTTATCATATCATTCTAATACTAATATTTAATGAATATTATAACCTTCATCCACAATTAAGTCTTATTATTCTGTAACTATTATTATTTTTTAACGCTTTTATCATAATACCCTAATAATATTTAATAAATATAAATTTATATGCATTAATATTAGGTAGATAACCTTTTTTTTTTTTATTGAAGCGGGCATCTATTACAAACTAAGCAACTGAATTGTCAAGAGTAGACATATTATTCCTATCCAACTGTAAGAGGCCTTTAGCCGTTTCCGGGGGCGTGTTCAGCACAAGGAAGTCGACCAACATTCCCCTAGCCTTCATAGCCATGCTGTCTGCCACAGTGTTTGCTTCACGGTCACAACAGGATATGTCAACCACCCAATCTCGTGCAAGCATCTGTTTGATCTCATTTAAGGCTACATGGTCAGGGTGTTCCTCCAAAATAGGATTACGGATGACCTGAGCCAGCTCCAAACAGTCAGTTTCTAAGATGATATGCCGCAAGTCCTCATCCCACGCAAGCTTCAAAGCCCACAGGAAGCCCCAAACTTCAACAGTGAAGGCTGACCCAGTCCCAACCTTATACATGAAACCACGGATAAAAGAACCTGTATGATCCCGAAAGAGACCGCTACACGTGCACAAGCCAGTCCCCATGTCTTGAGACCCGTCAATATTAATCTTTATAACACTGGGAGGGGGTGGAATCCACCTGGTAGTCATACTAAATTCAGTATTCGACCGAAGAACATTCCGATTACCCCATGCTAACCAAGCACGGGAGCTCGCAAGAGTCGACTCCACATTCAGGGTCTGGTTCCCGAAGACAAACTCGTTCCGATGCAGCCATATGTTTCTGCAGACAACAGCAAACCAGAGGCGGAATTCATAGCCCTTCACAACCTCCCGCTTTTTTATACTCCATTTGATCCAGCTCGAGATTTCTGTCATCCCAAAGAACTGCTCCATCCATTCTCTCGGCACTAGGGTCAGCCAGATCGTGCTAGCGAAAGAGCAATCACGAAGGGTATGAAGGGACGACTCGAGCTCATGCTTACAGAGCTCACATGATCCAGAGGTGCTCATACCACGACGGCGTCTAGATAAGTTTGTAAGCAGCTTGTCATGGGAGCAAAGCCACAGAAAGATACGACAACGTTGAGGAACTTTGAGTTTCCAAATGAGTCTCCACAGGCTACCAGCATCCATCGTCTTTGGCCCTATAATATGCCCATAAGCTGATTTGAGTGAGAATAGTCCGTTTGAAGACCAGCGCCACCTAGGTATGTCATGCCCCCCATGCACGTAACCTTTATATCTACATCAATGCAGATAAAATTTTAAGATGTTTTGAAAAGAATAATAAATATGAAAATAATAAGATTCTACATTTAGGAATAAAAATAAGAGGACGTGAATTCGACTATGTGAGTGTGTGAAAATTTGCACAGTACAAGTACTTTCTGTTCACGAAAGCATATAATATCCTTTAAACCAATAAAAATTTTAAACACGAAATTTTTTTAAATCAATTTTCCCTGTTTTATTTTGTTCTTTTTGTATTATAGTATAATCATCTATTATGTTAACATATCAATTATCTTAATATTAATTATAACTATTTTGTTAATATTAATTTATTTTATTTATTAATTAACATTAATTTGCATTAGTTTAAGTTAATATCCTTTTGATTCAG